AATTGGAAATATTGGAGAAGAAAAAATTTGACCTTAGTTCACAACACAAGTGGTCTGCTTTGAATGATCTGGAGAAGGAAGACATGATCATTTTCAATGCTTGGAATAATATTCCTGACTCTCAGTTGAAAAAGCTAGCTTTTGCTGTTCTTTCCCTTTTCGGTTCTACACATATATGAGAACAATCTTCTTCAAGCATGAACATTATCAAGAGTAAAATTAGAAATCGTCTTATTGATGAGAACTTGGAATCACGCCTAAAATTTAAAAAAACAACATACAAACCTGACTTACTCAAACTTTCCAAGGAGATGCAAGCACACTGTTCGCATTAATAAATATTTATTAAGTATGAAATTCAGTTTTATTTAGTGTACTACTTATTTAGTGTAATAAAAGTTTACTAAAAAAGCAGATTTGGCTCCCAATTTTTTTTTAAATTGTCGTAATGCTCATATTTGGCTCCTTGGTTAATAAGTTTGCCGACCACTGCCCTACACGATATTAGGCAGGTATACCAGTTTTTTTGGCTCTTCAGTGCAAATTAATATGGAAAAAAATTATACTAAATGCATTGTAATAACTATAGTGTAATATCTGTCCAAATTTGATGTTGAACAACCCTGAACACTTTTTTTCATGTTAACACGAAATCAAACTTTCATATATAACTTAGGGGAGTGTCGGGTACCCTCGCCCACTGCCAATTTGATATGTATAGAATATTTTTTCAAGTCAATAGGCCATCGGACATTAATTGTTATATTAAAAAAAAAATTTTTTCTAAGTTTCAAGTATTTATGCAGCTGGTAAAATGGTAAACAAAAGTTTTGAAAATATGTTGAATACAGTAGTCATGAAATTAAGAAAAATCGGTTGAATTTTGTGATAAAAATGATAAATGAGGTTTATCTATTGTCAATACATTGGCCATTTTCATTTACACCTGAAAAAAACAGTCAAGAAACATAATTTTTGTAACTGGGTGGGGCTACCCGACACATTTTGAAAAGAGCTGAAAAACATGTTTTTTTAAATTTCCATTTTTTTAAGTTAAACTATTCTTTTTTTGGTTTATTCTTTTTGCTTTACTTAATTAGATGATAAAACAATAGAAACATACAAAAATATTGATTATTATTCAATATTATACTGAAATATAAACAATACTCCCTAAGTGGGCGGGGCTACCCGACTCTCCCCTATAGAATATATGAAAGCTCTAAATACCGAAAATGCAAAAAGTTTTCACCAAGATCACTTGACTTTACACCTTACGTTAAATATTTTCATTTCCGAATACTCCAATATTGGATCACTTAGATTTCGTCCGCAATTGTTTACAATCGATACCGAGTTGGTCAGTGTTTGCAACTCTCTTCAATGTTGCTTTTCATCAGCAGAAACTATAGTTCACCATTAGAAATATGTATATACGTTTTTAATTGTATTTACATTTTAATTTTCAAGTCTATCAACAGTATTAAATAATTTTATAATGTATAACTTCTATTCGCTCCCTCTGTTAAGCCTATCTCGAATTCATCTTAATATTCTCTCTACTACGTTATTTACAAATACGACTATTTGATTTACAAACTCGTTTTATTTTAAGAACTAGAATTAGTGTACGTATGCAACCTAAATTGCTGATTCTGATTTATATTGTCTCGTAAAAATAACTTTATTTTTCTTATGTGCATCATATCTTACTTTAATTATAAATTTTTGTGTTACTAAATAACAAACATGGTGGTTGGTGGTGGCTAGTTTTCACTAAGTAGGAGAGAGTGGGGTCAATTGTAACATTTTTTACTTAACTATTTTTAACTAACAAAAAATCCAATATATTATTAGTATTAATTGGCAGACGAGTAAAGTAGACTATCTTCTACTAGAAAAAAAATGCCTTATTTTAAATGTTATTATATTAGTTATTAATAATTTTTGGCAGTCGTGCACTTGTTACAATTGTCCCCACTTACGGGGTCAATTGTAACATTTTATAAATTCAACTAAATATAGTTAATTTCTTATTTATCAAAATAGTAGTGATATTTTAGGAGTAAAAATAATAATGAGCAGAGACCTAAAGGGTTAAACTTTTAACTTTAAGGGGTTAAAAATTTTAATTTATGCTGTGAAAGGTGACAAATAAAATAATGCACATGCAACGTAATATAAATGATATAGGAAACTATTGGTGGTTCTTAAAGAGTTAAATAATGGTTTGTAAACATAAGATTATTCATTTTCAGCTGTTACAATCGTCCCTTTACTTATTGTTACAATCGTCTCCAAGACGCCATTTCAGCTTCATTTGTTAAAAACAATGCTAGTTAATTAACAAAACTAATTTTTTTTATTGAGATGTTAATTAAGGTGTCCACTTACATATTCGGTTAGTAATTTTTATTTGTTTAAACACAATTATTTTGTTACAATATAATATTCTAATACCAAAAAAAGTACTTACGCAGCGGGAAAATATCTTTTGTGATGTAACTCTTTCAAAAGTACATAAAATGGTTGCCAGCAGGGGCGTACATGTAGATTTATTAAATACACCTTGTGCGCCACCTAGGAACCAAATCTAGAACCCGACACTCGAAATTTTTGCTCTGTTACAATTGTACCCTATTACAATTGACCCCACTCTCCCCTAGTGTAAAAAAACATTATAAGTGTTTCACAGCATCAAAAACTACCCTTGGGTTTGGGTGAAATTGAGCACCACCTTTTTTCGTGTTCAAATACACGAATATATAAAATTTATACGGAAGCATTTGAATACTTATTTCAGTATTCTATATTTAAAAAATTAATTGAAGAAATTTTTTATTCAAAAGAAAAGAGTAATATCGTAGCAGTAGTAGAGATTTATCAACAGAAATTATTGATAAGATAACATCAGATATTTCTAGAGGGTAAGTACTATTTTTGATTAATACCTATGCGGCACCGATGTATTGCAAATAAAATATAGCAAATAACTTCTCGTCGCAAAGCTTTACTGAGAAAGACCGAGGAATCTGCAGTAATAAGTGTCAGTTAAAGATTGGAACCAGTTATTCCTTTCAAAATCATGGAATTTTAAACTAGTATGAAATGTAGAGAAGATGATTAAAAATGTTATGTGAAACAAATGAATGAAAAGTGAATGCGCATTTAGTATAAAAGATTTATAATAAAATTTTATTATTTAAAACAAATATTTGATTTAAACTTTATAAAAATAAAAGAATGAAAAATTAACAGAGCGTGAAGCGAACATTGTTTAAAAATTATTAGTTTATCTTTTTTGTCTTTTTTTGAATACTAACATTGAAAATAAAATATTTCTGACCTATATTGTTTTTAAAGTTAATGGTTTTAAAATATTTAGTTTATGAAATATTTCCTTATCTTTTATGTTTGTGATAAAAAAACTTTTTCCCCTTAGATTTAGATATATATGAATGTCTAAATAAATAAATTATATACATAATTGTACTCTTGAAAAAGATTTTAATAAGCATTTTTGTCTGTTTTCTCTATTTTTCAAACTAATAAACTTGTTGAATAATTAAATAAATTTGTCAATTCAATGCGACCATTCTGAACACAAGAAAAAAAGAATAATAATCAAATGTTTTAATATCAATAAAAAATATTAAATATGCACTAGCATTCCTTAAATATTTAAAATTATATCCTTGCCAGAATCATTTATTTTCCACTTTTCTTTTTTATCTTGTTTAACTGTAACTTGGATCTCTTAACTAGTTTAACTTTTTAACTTTAGCTTGTACAAAATAAATTTAACAGTATTTTAAATATGCACCTTTTTAGTTTGTCTCGACCAAAAAAATTTTTGTTGCTTTCATATTCATTTATTTAATCACTCAAACTTATTTTGAAAAATTCTACTATGTGTTTCTACCAAATTATACAAAGTAATTTATTTCATAAATTATTAATGAAAAATGGAAAGAGATATAGAGTAGGGTTCGCTGTGTTCTGTCAAGGAAACCAGAGTTTAACCTCAATGCATTTCAAAGTTAATTACAAAGTGTAAGAAAAAAATGTATTCCATGAACAACCAATAATAAATGTATTAAAAAAATAATCTATAAAACAATGTATTCACAAAAATCACTATCTGCTGCAATAACTTAGTGCAGTTTGAGAACATAATTAATAGATACCCGTGCAAATGTTTCAGTTGGAATGGCAGTGCTTCAAAGATTTTCTAAACAGCTGTGCTATCTGTTAAAATCTGGCTTTCTGAACAGAACACTTCAAACTATACTATTCTCTCTTAAACTTTTCAATCATTTAATGAAAATTGCTATTGCAATATTGTATACATTCAAAGCTCATCCCCGTCCCGCCCCCTAGCGGGGGAATCCGGGGTGAAAATTTATTGATCAACAAAAGGATGCAATACAATTTCCATTTTGAAAACAAAAGAAGATGAGACAATGATAAACATGAATAATAAAACAAAATAAATGAATAATAAATAAATATAATAATATTTAATGCTTATCCTAAATTTTAGTTGACATCCTATAATTTTAGTTGACAATGACTTGTATGCCTTAGATTTGAATAGAGACGAATTTGATATAGCATTACATGATTTCTTAAGTATCTTTGAATATTACTAACAACAACAATCTGAAAAAGAATACAGTATATAACATTGGATCCAAGAGGGTAAACAGGTAAGTGAAAGATTGTAAACATTAAAAACATTGGATCAAAAGGTAAATTAGACAAGCAAAAGCAATTTAAACGTAATAAAACATTGAAAACATAGAAATTGAACCAACAGGCTTCCAGAATATAAAATATAAAATATCATTGAACCAAAAGGGTTCCAAAGTTAAAAACAAATAAATAGCAATGAAGTGAAATGAGTAGAATTAAAAGAAAGCATTAAGAGCATTTAGCTGTTTGTGGCAGGGCAGGTGGTCGCTATGCAACCCCGAGAGATGTTAATTAGGTGCAAAGATCTAAATTTGATTCATATGAAGAGGGTCCATGAGATCGTCTGGTGTCATTATATCTACCAGGGTACGTTTAATAATCTCAGTGATAGCATATTTTTGTGCTTTAGATCGGAACCAAAGAGTCAAGTCGTTCATATTACGAAAGAGATTTCCTCGGAGTGTCCGGAATTTGTCACATTCGGCGATTAGGTGTTTAAGAGATTGATATTTTCCACAGTATTTACAGCTGGCTGTAGCTTGGAATAGCCTAGCTTGATGCTCGCCGAAAACTCCGTGACCCGTGAGAAATTGATTAAGAAAGAAATCGCTGGAGAGTCTATTCTCCTTGACCATTGGGTAGAAGATATAGGTATGTCTCCCATTTGTTGTGGTTGACCACCTGTCCTGCCAAATTGCGTTGCTTACCTGCCTCAGTCTGTAATTGATTTGTGGTTTTGAAAGAGGATAATAGTGATCAACCCCGCCAAGAAGAGTGCCTTGTTTGGCAAGTGCATCAGCTTCCTCGTTGCCAATGTCCCCAGAATGTGCCTTTACCCAGTTGAGACAGCATGTTTTATATTTGACCATGTTCTTAATTTCTTCCACAAGTGGGTCATTCGGATTTGGGTTTTCTAGCGACTGCAGCGAGGATTTAGAATCAGAGAATAAATTAAATGCATTAATATTTTCAGCGTTTGCCCATGTGATTGCAAGTTTGATGGCAGTGAGTTCGGCGGGGTATACACTTGCATCGTTATTAAGTCTAGCACAGTGTTGATAAATGGTGTTGTTATTAAGCTTCACCAAGAAACCACAGCCCACTCTATCCTCGGTCAACCCTGTATCCGAATTTGTTATTTGTCTTCTACTGCCGTCTGTATAGATTTCATAACCCACACCCCTCGGTGAGCTGTAGCCCCTTTCTATCATCTTGAGATCCAAGGGATTATGGTGTACTGGGGTATCTATCGGTAAGGCATCTAGTTCTTTGATTTGGAAGTCGCTATCGAAAATGATTTGCTTATCTCGCGTCCACCGATGTTTCTTTATAGTACAAGTCTGTCTAATTTTTAGGTCGATGGGGGGAATACCAGCAAGAATTTGGAGAGCCTCTGTGCTGGTGGTGGAGTAGCATTTGGTGATATTTAGAAGGGGGATGCGCTGTATGGAGTTCAACTTCTTATTAATTTTCACGTTATTTTTATACCATACAGAGGCTCCGTAAGTGATTTTTTTCTCAATAGCTCGGAGATAAATTTGTTTAAGAATGTTTGGGGACAAGCCCCAGGTGGCTCTACTGAACTGTTTCATTTTGTTGTAAAAGATGTCGACATCGGACTTTAACTGCTCGAGATGTGGCATCCAGCTCAACCGAGGGTCAAAAATCACGCCAAGATATTTAAGTGTTTTTACTGGTTTAATATTGGCAGTAGTTGTGCCAGCCATTTTGATACGCGGTTGCCTTCTAACACATTTGGCGTCTTTAAGAAATGTGATCAATTTTGTCTTTTCAGGTGCGAAAACAAGGCTGTGTTCCCTGGCCCAGTCCGTAAGAGACTGTATAATATCTGTGCCTATTTTGTCGATTCTATAGAGTATTGAATGCTTCATCAGTAAAAAGACGTCATCGGCGAAGGCAAGCAAACTGCAATCATAATAGTTAAAATTGACGATCAATGAATTAATGAGTATGAGCCATAAAATGGGTCCCAGGGACGAGCCCTGGGGTACCCCTACATTGGTTGGTGATTCTATAAGAACATCAATTCGATTAAAACAAACATATCTATTGTTTAAAAAATCAAAAACCACCGCCAGCACCGAGTCGCCCAAACCCAAACTATTTAATTCCTGCTTAAGCAGCCTCCAACTGGCAGAGCCGAAAGCATTTTTAATGTCTATGGCGACGCCCACTGTATGTTTACCTTCGTGTTTAGCAGCTGTGACATAGTCCACAACAAATTTAAGCGCGTCATCCGCTCCCCTGCCTCTCCTGAAGCCAAATTGATTTTCATGTAAGATATTATTGCTTTCTAAAAAATAGATTAATCTTTCAGCAATCAACTTATCCAAAATTTTACCCCAGGTAGAGAGCAGAGAGATTGGACGATAGCTCTGCGGTAATTGAGGATTTTTGCCATGCTTGGGAATCAGGCAGGCAGAGGCTTTTTTCCACAATATTGTATACATGCATATTGTATACAATATTGTATACATGCAATGATAATATAAATTGCTGTTACAATATTGTATACAGGCAACAATAATATAAAATATTCATTGATATTATAATAGATGTTTCGCAATCACTATCCTTAATATATTTTTGAAATTCTAGAAACAAATGGTGCAAAAAAATATACACATTTGGGGTCACAAAATTATCATTTAAGCCACAAAATAAAATTTGTCAAAATCAGACGAAACATAATGAAGGAAAGTCGAATTAAAATCATCAAAACCCTTTTTTCATAATCACCTTAGCAATCAAACAGGTTTTCACTTTTTCAATCTCACCATCTTCTTTTTATGATTCCTTAGATTTTTATACAGATATCATTTCTTTTTTACTTAAATATTAATCTGAAACCCATATTTTGTATATTATTATGAATTCTTTCATACAAGGCTTCTTGAAAGATACCTTAAGGGTGGTGATTACGGAACATTCTACACGCTAAGCTCTTCACAGTAATGTTGTTGCTTTTGTCTTTTCTATATAAATGCTAAATATTTCCAAGGGTTTGGAAGATGAGATAAATAAAGCACTCTGCATAGAAGATAATTCCCATTGCCTGTATTCGCAAGCAATGGCAACTCATTTTGTATGCGCAGTAATGAGAGTACAAAATAAAAGAAATGCATGCACTTCATGTGTTACTTTATGGATTTTATTTTTTTTCTATGTTTTACATGTATTTTTACTGTGAGAAAGGTATTCTTGCACAACTTTAAACACTATGAGTTGCTGTAACATACAAAATAAACTTCTGTAAGACTGTATGCATAACATATCTTCTTTTTTTTCGAATGGCAGACACTTAACTTTAATCGTTTCGCCTTAGAAGATGCTAGAGGTGTTACTCATTTCGCGTGACCTAGTGGGCACCTGTGAACCAAAGTCACGGAGGCGAGTAACATTGCCCACTCCACACTGCCACAAACCCGTTCATAGGGTGGGCCACATTCACACATCACACACAACAGAGGACAACACAAGAGAGAGAAACATCCATGCCCAGAGCGGGATTCGAACCCGCGGCCATTGGCTTTGCAGTCAGGCGCGCTAACCGTTCGGCCACCTGGGCAGGTGCATAACATATCTATTTCATTTCTTTTAGGACTTACTGCATGTCATAGTTGGTTAACTGATTCTCCATCAGCCATTATAAGGAATATAACGTCACAAAGCAACTTGTTGTCTTGCCAATAAATATTAGGGAATTTTTTCTTACCGCTTTGTAAAACAGTATATCACGGGAGATACAAATTAGAAAAAGTACCAATATGAAAATATTCGTTTATTGAACCGTGGTAGCTCAGGGGATAGAGCGCTCACCACTCAATGAGGCGATCCGGGTTCGAATCCCGGTGATGTCTTTTTGATTTGAACTCCGCACTCGGATCGTGTCGAGCACAGGGCTGGCAGAAAATATCCTCAGTCGTATACAGATTATGAATTAGAGTCCCCTTGTCGTCAGGCTAACCATGTTAGGTTTTCGTGGTTTTGCTCTCCATGTAACGCAAATAGTTCTATCAAAAAGTCCTCCACGAGGACAAATTTCTCTCAATACTTGATCAAGGAGTTCCGAGATCAAGGGTGCGAAGTTGAACATTGGTAGTAATAAACTGAAAATACGGTCGGCTGTTCAACGACGGCTATAAACGGTTATAAAAATTATGTTCATTGAAAAAACCAAGAAATACTCTTCGCTACACTCAATAGAACTTATGCTTAATTCAAATACTTTTGCCGAAAATAGCTTTCTATTTAGTTTAATTTCCGTGCAAATGGAAAATAAACTTTTCTGCCTTGCTGAATGCATCTATTATCTCTTTGTTTTCATTAATTAAAACTCCTGCTTAATGAAACGAAATTAAACTAATGTAGAACATTGAGCTTCTTTTGTGTACAAAGTGCTGCTAGTTTGTGTACAAACTAAGAGAGAATCTAATGTTATACCTGAAGGCACTTGCGTGTTGTAATTCTTTAACATTCGTGTGAAAGCTATTAACTTAAAATGGAGCTACATTATTAAACAACATTTTCCCTCTACTTCTATATTTAATTTTAAGCTCTGTGAGCACAAAATCAGCCAAAACTATCCTATCCTGAAATCGGTTTCTTCTAAAAATAATTAAATAACAACTTATTTACTGTGAAAGGTATTCTCGTTTTCAATTAATTATTCCTTAGGGGTATATAGTAATAAGTCAGCCAAAGCTATTCAAGCCTGGAATTGTTTTTTTTTTCTGAGAATAATTAAGTAACTAGGTTTATTTTTTGTGAAATGTGTTCTCGTTTTCGGTTAATAGATCGTTAGGTGACTAAATTACGGTTAATAATTAATAATAATTACAGAATAATAAGCTATGGTACTCAATCAGTCAGAACTATCATACCCTGGAATTGTTTTCTTCTGAAAATAATTACGTAACTAGAATTATTTGGTGTGAAATGTGTGTTTGTTTTCGGTTAATAATTTTCTTGGCAACTAAATTTCGGTTAATAATCATAATAATAACTGAATAATAAACTGCAGCTTTTAGTCGGTTAAAACTATCCTATCTTGAAATTGGTTTCTTTTAAGAATAATGAGACGTGACTTAGATATTGCGAAATGCGTTCTCGTTTATGTTAATAATTCTCTCTACAATCAAATTAAGGTTAATAATTATAATAATAACAAAGTAATTAAGGAAGCAAAATTCTGACTTTACAGTAAGTTTAGCCTATCCCTACTACTTTCTTCAGTAAGATTTGTAATTAAATATAAGTATAAGTATGAAACTCTTATCCTGAGTAATAAAGAAGAAGTTACTAATTAAATTACCTTATTACCATTCATTAATTTCAGTGAACTATGCACTTAAAAGTAGGGTATATACATGTGATTATTCAGAAAGAGTAATATTTACGATTATAAAATATGATTTATGTAATTCTTTATTTTAATTAATAGTTTTAGTAAAACTGATCTTTAGAATACTAACTATCCTTCAACTTACTTTCGTAACAAACTCTGTATATATTTGATGAGGCAATTAGTTTTATTAAGAAAAAAATACTTAAAACATATTTTTAAAGAGACAGTGGGGACACAGAAGTGACGAAATCTTGAAAAGTAGTATTTTGTTTGAACTTAATTAGGCTTATAACCTTATTGTGTGTTTTTTAATTATCCCCTAAAAGATTTATTAAAATATAAAATATAAATTAATCTATTAAAAAAGATAACATATGAAACAGATCCAATAGTGAAGACCTATAAAAATATGTGGATGTAAAAATCTTTTAACTTTTAGTTTGAAGACCTACCGTATATCACATACGAGTGAAGGGTTAAAACTTGTAAGAAGTTTTCATCCGTGTGTTGGAATATTTTTGGTAAGTAGTAAATTTAAAAATATTTATAGTAAGGAACAGTAATGATAAGTAAAGAAAGGAACAATATTTTTTGAGGAATCGTAAAAATCTCCTTAGGGTAAAGGAAATATTGAATACAGTTCTAGTAACCCTAATATTTATCAACTAAAATGTGTAAAACGTGTATTTAACATAATTTGAACTGCATTGAAAATTTTGTTTAAAGGGCCAGAAATGACTAAGGGACAGGAAACAGAAATGACAGTTTGCACACACAATTTCGTCATAATATTTGTGAAGAAATAAATTTTTTTGTGCATCGATCAATGATAAGGGCAATAATCATGAAATTAAAAGCAAAACTGATGTTTTTTTAACCAGCCAGTGCTGCTGATGAAATGCTACACCGTAAAAATTTTCGTGTATCTTAACAACAAAAATAGTGTCAACTATATTACACCAAAGTGGTGTTCCACTAAGAATTCTATTACATCAAGAATGTTCCATACGCTACTAAAACTACACTAAAGTAACCGCCACCATTTTTGGCATTCATCAACACTAAAATTTGAAATTATTGTAAGATAAGATACAAATAAGGGTCAGCAAATGTGTTATCATGATTCCTAATAAAGTTATAATTATTAATTGAAAATTATTAATTTAGAATGATATGTACACTAATTCATAAAAATAAAATTAATTTTTTAATCAAACTAACGTACTGCACGAAAATAAAAATGAACTCGAACAAGGCTTAACAGAACAGAAACTCATAAAACTTATTTATGATATAATCACTTATTATAGTTTACAAAGATTTAAAGAAAAATGCGATATAATTATCCTTGTTTCATAACTAAAGCATAACATACCTTTTTTAACGGTGAACATGACCGCGATAGCCTGGTTGGTAGGGCGTTGTGCCCATGTCCAAGAGGTCGTGAGTTCGATCGGCATCGGCCGAAAACTCCCCATGTATTAAATGGTGACAAGTACACGTTAAATCTGCCGGGTCACAAAGTCCTCCGTGTTCCCATAACAAATCAATACCTCTGGGGGTACTGAATTGGAAATTGATCGTTCTCTGGTTTAGGTCAAAATTGCGATCTGTAGATGCGTGAATGGGTCCGCCCTGTAAACGGGCTGTGACATATGTGTGGCTGAAGTCGTATTTTTTAGCCATGGATGGCGACACTGAAAAACAAGAAACGCACCTTCTGCCTTAAAATTAGATTGGTTTCTCCTAGCTAGTATTGGCAAGTGGCAATAGAAATAATAACAACGGAGAACAACAAAACCTTTAATCAAATCACATTAAATCAGAAAGCGCCAACGTAACTCAATTGCCAACGTCACTTCCGTCGATAAAAAGAAGTGCGTCAACAATAGGGTTTTCGGAAAGAAGAATAATTCTCGTCTTGTGTGAATGGGGCAAAATTTGGTGTATGCTTATTCAATTTTAAGTGTTTAGATTCAAATTACACGCTTTAAATAGTATATGAACGAGTGATTAGATGTTAACCCGGAATAATTTTTGTTTTAATGTTCAAATTTGTATTCGGAGAAATATTACATCACAGTATTTACAGTGTAGGAACTA